AGAAAGTACAAACACTGAGAAACAAAAGGCCTAGTGACTAATCAGTACAAAGATGAGTTGTCCTGTCTGAAACACTAGCGTTTAGGAAGATAATCTTCTGAAGTTGACTGAAGCTTCACTTTTGATGCACTGCCAATGGATTTTTCTGAACATTTGGAGGACTATCCGTAAAATCAAGGATTCCACTTCTAATCAACTCACGCACTATGGCTTTCAGTCCATAACAATGCTCCAAGTCGTGGCCTGGGGCACCCTCATGAAAAGCACAATGGAGATCAGCTCTAAATCCAGTTGGAGGAGGATTAGGAGGAGGTTGTAAAGTCTTTGTAGTAATCAACCCTTGTCGAACTAGGTCAGGATAAAGTTCTGTGTACGTCATGGGAATAGGTTCAAAATGATTCTTATTCTGATACTGGTTATGTCCAACAGCTGGATGTTGAGGAATCTGAGCTGGTCGTGGAGCAGCAACAGCAGCAACAACATGATGATCAACAAACTGAGGTCTAGAGCGAGGCCTTCTCACTTCAGTCATGACAATATTGGTCTGATCTTCTCTCTTCTTTTGGAAATTCCTATAGGATTTCTTTGCACCATTAGAAGATTCAGCAGCTTTGGATACCTTGCCATTTTTCAGCCCTTCTTCTAACCTTTGGCCAATGGTCACCAGATCTGTAAAGCTCGAAGAAACACTCCCAATCATCTTTTCCCAATAGAAAGGAGACAAAGTATCCATGAACATTCCAGTTAGCTCCTTCTCTGCTAGAGGGGGTTCAACTTGGGAAGCTAACTCTCTCCAACGTTGAGCGTATTCTTTGAATGACTCTCATTCGCCCGGATACATATTTTGAAGTTGGCGGTGATCAGGAGCCATGTCCAGATTGTATTTGTATTGCCTCATAAAAGCATTGGCAAGATCCTGGAAGCAGTGGACGCTGTCATGCTCTAAGTTCATATACCATTTGAGAGAAGCACCACTCAAACTGTACTGAAAGCAATGGATGAGCAACTTCTGATTGTTGGTGTAAGCTGCCATCTTTCAGAAATACATAACAAGATGGGCTCTTGGACATGAGTGACCCTTATACTTCACAAACTCGGGAGTCTTGAACTTTGCAGGCATAACAAGACCGGAAACTAGGCACATATTATCCGCATCAACGTTAAAGAAGTCAGTACCATCAATGGCTTTGAGTCTCTTGTCTATGTTATGAAACTGTTCACGGATAACTTCAGGCTCAACAAAATCTTCATGGTCTTCATCTTGAGCACTGGCAGCATTGTACTCATAGAGAGGATTCTCAAAGGGAGCTCGGACAGTCTGATTAATAGTGTGGACCACAGGTCTGGGCTCAGCAAAGACAGGAGCTTGAAAAACTGGTCTGACAGTCTGACGAAACATAGCAGTAGATGCAAGAGATGGAAAGTAGTTAGGAGGTAAACCAAACTCTGGCCAAGTAGATGGTGGCATTTGAACAGGAGAAGGATCAACACTTGAGACTTCCTGAATGACGGTCCTCTGAGATGGCTCTCCTCTGGCAATCAGTACTTGAAGCATCTCGGTAAGCTTAGTCATGCCTGACTTCAACTCATCGATCTCCATTCGGATTTCCGCATTGTGTACTTCCTGCTCTGACATTCTTCGTCTATAGTTAGCTCTAGTCCGATATCGGTGTCGAGGAATCAGTTTGACGACTCAAAGGCACACTGAAAGATGAAGACAGCTGAACATGAACTACTGGACAAATAGAGGTATGCAATGAACCATGCAAAGAAGCAAATGCAATGCAATGCAATGTAAGACAGGATGCAAAACACACATAACAGGATCAAATGTTCGAGATCACAGCATGGAGTCTAGGTAAAGAACCAACCACAGGGTGTGTACTAAGGGTTCTCAAATCTGCAGAACAGGGTTCTAAGAGGTTCTCAGAGTCAACAACCCATCTTTCAGATATTATCAATTTCCCAAATCACTCGGTAGTCGATAATATTCTTAAGAGAGTCTCGTCTGAGTGTAGTATCGCGTATCAACTAATTCGGGAATACTCCCTCATAGTCATCGCACTACATCCTAAAAGGCCAAGTGGGGGTAAAAGGTAACTAAAGGTCCTCAGTGTCACAGGCTCCTAGGTTGAAAGTAGTAATGTTTTCACAAATACTCTTTCAACAAAACTACTCCCAATAGGGCCTCCACTGAGTGGTGGTTTCTCAAGTCAGCTTGGTCGGGAATCAACTCCCTATAAGCCTTCTTGAATATACCACCTTCCTATCATAAGTGCACTCAAGTCCGGGTATAAGACTTATCTCACCACTCAAGGTAACAACCCTGCATACAGAAAAACCCAGGTACAGACAAATATATGTACAAATATATACAAATATACAAGCAAGCAAACATATACCAAACACAAATATAAACAAGGTAGGCTTAACCCTCTTAGGGGAGTCCCCAGTGAAGTCGCCAATTCTGTTGCAGTGAGAATCAAATATCAAGCTATTGAATTAACTTGAATCTTTAATTCTTAAATTCACAACCGAACTTTAATTTATCCAAAAAGGAAAGGTTTAAAGAAAGAAAAACCTATAAAAATGCAAAGCAAAAAGCAAGGCTTAAAGCTAAGTAAAGAGATCAAAGGTTCGGGAGTTGGTTATACCTAGGGAAGGTATTAACATTCTAAGTATCTGTAGTACTCTACAGGAACCTCTTGTTAATATTTGTGTTTGCTAAAGTTTTCTTGCTAAAGGAAAAGTGCTAAGGGTAAAGATATAAAGGTATATACACTAAGTATGCTCGCCAAGACATCGCATCTCGTGCCTACGTATCTTGACGGGAATGGAATCAGAGCAACCGTAGTTCCCCTAGCTAGGGGTGAGGAATTCTTGATTGTGGTCAAGGTTCCAAGGGGATGTAAGCATTAATAGAGAAGTACTTACATGGAGTGCGGCGACTCTTGAATCTACGTTGAGATTGTTATGGTAGAGAATGTCCACGACGGTACGCTAAATAGAGCACGACGACTCTAATCCTAAGGTTAGGATAAAGGATAAGGATGTCCACGGCGGGACGCTAAATAGAGAACAATGACTCTAATCCTAAGGTTAGGATAAAGGTTAAAGGATGTCCACGGCGGGACGCTAAATGTGAGCACGGCGACTCAGATCCTAAGGTTAGGATAAAGGGTAAAGGATGTCCGCGGCGGGACGCTAAATGTGAGCACAGTGACTTAGATCTTAAGGTTAGGATAAAGATTAAAGGATGTCCACGGCGAGACGCTAAATAGAGCACGGTGACTCCAAGTCATATGGCAAGGGTAAACAAGGGAAATGTCCACGGCGGGACAACTATCTGGAGCACAGCGACTCCAATCCTAAGTTGTAAATGTTAACAGGAAGTTAGTTGTTAGTGAGCTCACCAAGAAATCGCATCTTGTGCCTACGTATTCTCGAAGAGAAATCAGAGCATTCGTAGTTCCCCCTTTCTGTTGTTATCAGTTGCTGTCTCTTTTTCATTGTAGGTGCTACAAAATTGTTTTGGAGTTCTTTTTGGTGTAAAACATAACAGAGATAACCTATTATATGATGCAGGTTTTGACTTATGTAGAGATTGCAGGGCGGTACAGGTGTAGATAGCTGGTTTTGGGAGTAGCCTAATGATGCACCAGGCGCAGGGCCTGTAGCAATACTCAGTTTTCGTTTTCTTTTTTTTTTGTGGCAATTTTGAATTTTATAGACTTGTTAAAAAAAACAATAATAATAATAATAATAATAATAATAATAATAATAATAATAATAGTAAATGATAATAAATAATAATGAAATAATAATAATAAAAGGTAATAACAAATAATAAAAATAAATAACTATAATAACAATAAAAATAATAATAAATAGCTAATAATAAAAATAAATAAACAAGGTTATAAACTCTAAAATAAGGATTAAACCTTGAGGATTGTGTACGACTAAAGATTGCTGGGCTACACGACAGTAAATGTAGGAAAAAAATGACTTAAAATGATATGCAGAAGATCAAAAATTCAATGGTAAAATCTGGGGTATGACAAAATGTTTTTGATATTGTTTTATACTATAGTATTTTTTATTTTTTATTCAATTTTTGTCTAATCTAATTTTAGCATATTGAATAAGAAATTGTTGTTCAAATATGATGAATTTTGTTGTTATTTGACAATATATGAATGACTAATCATAAAATTATGTTGTTCTCTATATGTGTATATATAGGTCAGTAAAAATCTTATAAAACATCGAACCAACTGAACCAATCGAAACCACATTGGTTTGGTTTGGCTCGATTTTATTTTTAAAAGTCATTCGAACCAAACCGAACCACACACTTTTTTCTGTTATGATTCAGATGACTTTTAACGTTAAAATCGTCTAAACGATACCGCAAACACCCCTAAATATAAGATCACATCTAACATTTAAATATGTTAATATAGAATAATTGTTATGAATATGTAATATATTGTTAAAAATTGTCTATGTATATCTATATTTATCTTTAATAATTAATTTTGCTCAATAACTAAACAAACAAATTATAAAGAATAACTAACATATTTTTCTTAACGATTTTCTTCCTATAATTTTCATGGATTCTAAATACTAGGTTTGTAACCTACATATCGAGGTAGACATCATAGAATATTTCAACATTTAATGTTTTTAAAATCTATTCTCACATTTCATTAAAATTTTTTTTTAATAATATATTTCCTTTAATTTTTCGGTTAATCAGATATTTACTCTGCGTGTGTTTTTTTTTTTTTGAATTTAGGTTATCATTTGGGCCGTTTCATTCTTACTATAGTACTTGGCCCATTAAAAGTGAGGCCCACTTAAAGGGTTTTCTTGCAGGTTACTTTTCTTTCTCCTTATCTTTAGGTTTTCTATACCCATTTTTTTGCTTGTGCTACGCTTAGGGTTTTTGCTAGATTTCTCTGAAGAATTCCTTTTCCGTCAAATAGCTCTCCATGGATCTTTCTGACCTTAATTCTGCCGATATGCAGAGATTTTACTCTGTAAGTTCGATTTCATCTTTTTTCATGGTTACGTTGGTTGCTTTTACTGATAGATTATTCAACTGTAAATGCTTGTGTTAACTTTCTGGATTTGATTTTTCATTATAAGCCTATCAATTTTATGGTGACGAAGGTTGATTAAAAGAAATGCTAAAGATTTGGAAGTGTAGGAGGGATGTCCGTCTTAAATTTAAAACCGGTTATTGTTCTGGTTTTGTTAATTGGTAACAGTGTTGCTTCCGAAATCTAGTTCTGTTTTTTCCAAAAATTGGTCTGGTTTTTTAATAGGTTCAGTTTAGATATTAATTTGGTTACAGTGCACCGGTTAATTTGCACACCCATGCATACCTTATACAATGCATGCCTTATACAATGACTTGGGTGTTGTATGATCTAAATAGATTATTGTTTAAATTATATTGTGAGTTATTATTATTATTATTATTTTGGCTTAGACATTCAAAGTTTTATTATTTTCGCTTATACATTCAAAAAAATTGTAATCTGTAATGTTATGTAACCTTAACTTTCCCCTTCAAATGCAGGAAGAACAACAGAGAGCCATGATTAATGAAATGGTGGCAAAGATGACCAGTCAATGCTGGGACAAATGTATCACAGGTGCACCTGGTAATAAGTTCAGTTCCAGTGAAACTAATTGCCTTACACACTGTGCACAACGTTACATGGAGATGAGCATGCTTATCATGAAGCGGTTTCAGAGTATGCAATGAAGATCAATCGTCATTGACATGGTTTTTAATTAACAAACAAATTTCTCCTTTTATAATCATTAATCTCATCACTACTATTTAGGAAGTTTTGGATGTTTTTTCTTTTTATATTGTGTTGAGACCTTTGTGTCAGAATATTAAGTTTTCTTCTCAGCATAGTTGATGATAAAACCCTTGTTTGGAAGGGTGGATGAATTATAAGCCATTTTAAGTTTTAAACTGTTATGCAAGAAGAAATATATATTCATGTTTTAAATGGTAAATCACAGTTGTCGAACTAAGCACTAGTAATTTTCTTTACTATCCTGAATTACAATATTGTTTGTACCTGAGATTCAAGTATTGTGAAGTTTGACTGAAGGTGCTGTTGGCATGTTGCGTCGGTGTCTTTTTGTCACTCATTTTCTTTCTGATTTATGATACCATTTGGTCCCATGTGGTTGTACTTAAACATGCCCTTGGTCCATTTGAAGCTCCTCGTGTAGTAACGAATTTGAGGAACCTGTGTATACTTGTGGAATTCGTTTCTGTTGGATTTGTGATTATGTTCCTTGTTTATTAAGGCAAAGCCTATACGATTGGTCAACTTATGTTGGTAATACACCCTAGCATAAAGGCAAGGTAGTTGAGTTTTCTGTGTCCAATAAGTTGTTTGGAACAGTGGACTGTTAATCATGTCATTGAATTGTTTATTAAGAATGCTGATACGTGGGAGCGCTTCAGGAGGGAGGCGCAGAAAAATTTCAAATAGAATGTCATTGCACAGTTCCATGGGTGGAGGAGGTGGAGAAAAAAGAGAAGTTTGAAAGTAGGATTGCATGAAGTCCATAATCCATTTCAAGCATCTGGATAATGGCATTTTATGTACTTTCAGGATTTCCTAGTAGGTTATTGCATAGCAATTGGTGGGTTCTGTAATGCCTAGAGAAATTTGGACATGAATCTTGGCATTATCTAAACATTTGGTGGCTTTTAATTTAGTATGTGCAATGTGGAGTCAAACGTTGAGTAAGGAGACAAAAATGGCATGTCCGAATCAGTGCCCCAATTGCATAATTAGTATCCTGAAATTTAGTAGATTTTTAGAAATTAACAGAATGTATGCAGGAGAAGCTATTTTCACTCCTCTGAATGGTAGAAGAAATAAGAGGGGAAATAATATATTTTTATTGTGTGGGTGCACAAAAGACCATATATGTAAAGGAGTAAAAGAGAGATGCATATTTGGTTTTACTTTGTTGAGGGTCCAAAATATCTTCATCTGAAATTAGGGAAATGTTTTTTTTATCCTCAGGGGCGTGCTTCACACCATTGGAAATTCGAAGGAAAAAAAATTGAAAATGTTTTTTTTAAAGTATCGGAGATATATATTAGAAGGTACATAAAATTACACAAACCCTCGTCTTTCTCATATCCACCATATTTTGAATAAAAAATGGACGAAAATGCATCTCCGGAAATGCATCTCTGTATATTATTTTGGTAATATTCAGATATGCATCTTTGAAATATTCCATGTACTCATTTATGGTGTTTTTATTTTACTGAACTATTTCATTTAAAGATTTAGTGATATTTTCAGTGATGCATATTCGAAAATGTCAAAAGGGAATTTGAATAAAACACTACATTGCATGATCTTCTTCTTCATGCTAAAACTCCATTTTCAAAGTAAAAACCCTTAAAAAAGTTTATCTCATTCTCAAACAACTTTTCAACACCAAAACATCATTCTTTTATTTTAATACATCAAAGGGAGCAAAATAAGCTTGAATTGAAAATAAACTTCACCCCTTTCATATCTCATTCCTTGTGTTGTTGAGTTTTTTGTACTGAAAAAAATGAACGTTGAGTTTAGATATGCATCTTTGGACAAAGTTTGGTTTGATCTAGATATGCATATTTGGATTCGCCTTTATACTTCGAATCTTAAAATATGTTTTTCTATTATTTGTTGTATTATATATGGTGCACCCAAATATGTTTCTCAAAACTATTGTGAGGGTGGATGTTAAATCAGATGAAGTTGATGATTATGTTAAATTGAATGATGTTAAACCGGGTGATCGATCAATTGTTGTCGAGGTAGATGTTCGTGCACAATTTACAAATAAACAAGAGTTTATTGTTCGTGAACATATGTTACAATGAGTCTGCATGGAGGCTTGCAAATTGGGGTTTGACGTTGTAATCAGAAGGTCCAACAATGGTTTGGATAGAAGATAAGCATTTGTAACAATGAGATCCGAAATAAGTGGACGTACCAACCACAAATTAGAAGTTGAAACGAGATGACACTGGATCGAGAAAATGAGCGTGTTCGTTTAAATTGTGTGGTTATCGTATGGCGGATGACACATGGAAATTTAATGTGATTTCCCGTATACATAATCATGCCTTAACTAGCAAGATAGTCGGTCATCCTATTGTATGCCGCCTTGTTTCAGAGGAGAGGAAACTTGTTTCGGACATGACATTAAACATGGTGGCGTCAAAAAACATAATTGCATCTTTGAAACGGAAAAGACCTCTAAATGTTTACCGTGCGTACTCGAAAAAACGAGGTAAAAGGACCAAGATTTGAGATGCAACAATTGATGAAGCTTTTGGAAGATGACCACCGCTTGAGATATATTTTGGAGTCGTCCCTATTCCATCAAGTTGTTCAACACATTTCTCACTGTGCTCATAATTGATTCAACATATAAAACAAACAAGTATAGGCTTCTACTCCTAGAAATTGTTGGTGTTAATTCTATAGAGATGACATATTCAGTTAGTTTTGCATTTTTGAATCTGAAAAAGAGGACAATGTTACGTGGGTTTTGGAAATGTGAAAGACTATGTTGAAAGACCAAGAGAACATGTTGCAAGTAATAGTCACCAATCGCGACACCACACTGATGAACTCGATCGCAACGACGTTTTCAACATCGTATGCATTACTTTGTAAATACCACATAACCAAAACGTAAAAAGCCTACTAAAACATGTGGTTCGCACCAAACAAATCAAAGGTGGCAATGAAAAAATGCTCAAACCTAGTGTCATGGTGGAAAAGATGATGGATGCATGGAAATGTATAATTAATTCTTCCACGGAACAATAATATACCATATTCGTAATACACTTCGGGAGGGTGTGCGCAAGATATTCATATTTCTTGAAATATGTTAAGGGAACTATTTTGTACTAAGTAAAAGAAAAAAATGTTTCTGAATGAACCGATTAGGTTAGGCACTTTGGCAATACAACAACTAACAGAGTTGAATCTGCACATGCTAGAATGAAGAATTGGTTGGGAAACATTAAAGGTGATTTTTTTATCGAGATTTTGATGATGTGAACCAAATGCTCTGAAACCAACATAATGAGATACAAACATATTTTCGTCGGAGTATTACTATGTTAGAACACCGATTCAAAGACAACATGCTTTATTCATAGTTGGTTGACAATGTATCTCGGGCGGAATTGAATTTTATTTTTCACGAAGTTAAGCGAGCAGAAAAAATAGGTTCAAATAGCTCAAAGTGTTGATGTACACTTAGGAAAACGTATGTGTTTGTTTAATTTCAAAGAAGATGAAACTTGAAAAACCAATACGTATAGATGGAGTTTTTACTCACTAGAAAAGGCTCCATTTTGATGATGATGGTATGATGAAGGATGATAGATCAAACATATTTATCATGAACGAGTGGGCAGTGATCCAAGAGAGATTCTTGAAAGCTGATGACGTCATGAAATTGCACATCAAATAGCAACTGAGGAAGATTGTCTATCCAAAAAGAACGGATTTGAAACCACCGTCACAACCAGTTAAAATAAAGGGTGCACCTAAAAAGATCAAGTCGACATAAAGTGACAACCCCATAAGACGATCTCTTTCATACTTTGAACATGTTGACTCACGTTTTCCAGATTCTCTGGCTCCAAAATCCTAAAAAAACTGTTTTCAATGGTCCTCGAATTAGCAAACCATCTCCTCTACCACCATTACCAAAAATTATCCACATTGAAAAGATGTCATTTTTAAGCACAAATACATTGAGCAAATTGTATATGTTGAAGGTAGCGACAATTGTGGTTTTTGAGTTGTTTTGGGTTTGCTGGGTAAAAGAGATGAGGACCACTAACTAGTCTACCTTTAGCTTATACTAATACAAGAGATGATGATGCATATGGAATTATATACAAAGTTATACGTGAAAAAAATACAATTACGATGCAATTCTCAATGCTCTTATTCCTTTTCTTAGTGGTCCGACACCTTTTGACAAATAGATGCGCTTCCCAAAAATTAGACATATTATAGCAACTACTTATGATAGGGTGTGTATTGATTTAACATAATATGGTTAGTCAGAAACATTCTTTCCACTTCGGAGTAGGCCACCTCAAAATACATCCGGACACATAATATGTATTGGTTGGATATAAAAAAACAACATTATGTTCAAGTTTATTTGAAACCGAGATGTCTTACGACACATTGTCGCTACCGCGAAAATAAGGTGCCGGCAAAACAGAAGAGTCGCCACCTTTCGTTATTTATCCCACAGAAAGGGAAAGGAAACGATCGGAAAAAACCTGACGAAAAGGTATAAGACAAGGTCATCGCAACCGTGTCTGGGTTCGGGAGCTGGTTACGCAAGGGGAAGGTATTAGAACCCCTCACGTCCATCGTACTCGATGGGATCCACGCTTGTTGTGTTTATCTGACGGGTTGGTTTAACTATCTACGCTAAAATTCTGGTCTGAAAAGAAAAGAAAATGACTCGGCAGAACACAACAGTTCTATGCCTACGTATTCCCGTCTGAAACAAGAAATCAGAGTCAACGTAGTTCGCCTAACTACGGGTGAAAAAAGGGGGAAGGTTGCTCGCCGAGATATCGCATCTCGTGTCTACGTACTTTCACACAGCGCGAAAGATCAGAGCAAACGTAGTTCAGGCTAACAAGACCACAGGTTTGGTTCAACATGTTTTACCCGAGTA